TCATCAATCAGTCTAGACTTCAGGCTTTATTATGGGCAACGCTAATCATCTGATAAACCCAACATTAACCAGGGTCTCCCTAGGCTCCTCGAAAGAAGGATGAGGATGGGAAGGAGAGACATCTGCCACTGCTTTTGTCACGCCTTTAAAAAAAGAAAAGGAAAAGGAAAAAAGCAAGTCGTGGCTACTGTTTTCCTTGTTGGCTATTAATATTCTCCGCGGCTGCTGTTTTCCTTGTTGGCTATTAATATTCTCAAGAAACCAACCAACTTTTTTTTAAAAAGCCAAGATAAAAACAAGCCCTGGTTTCATACCGAGATCCTGTTCAGGCCCCGGGACAGGGGCCAAGCGGGTGCTCCTGCCCACGTAGGCAAGACCTCGGGTGCAGGCAGGGCCTCTGGCTTCCCCGGGACAGAGCCGGCAGGGAAATCTTTTCAGGCACCTGCAGCCTGGCCTCGCCGCCCAGCCTGGCCAACAGCAGCTGCCCTCTCGGCTAACAAAAAATCCTACACGCACTTCCCCGGAGGAACGACAGGTGACCCACCTGTAATTGTAGTTTTTAGAGGGGACCTCTCTGATTCACACCCTGGGTGATCCGGCCTGTGCGGAGCCTCGTCGGAAAGTTCTAGAGCTTCTGCGGTAGCAAAAAGCACGTTAGAATAGGGCCCCTCCCCCCCTCAGTTGTGTCAACCGCCGCTACATGAAGCAAAATGGCGTGACAGTGGGGAGGACGGGCGGGATGGTGTGAATCACAGAGGTCCAGTTGAAGAAATGCAATTACAGGCGGGTAACCTGCCGTTCTTCTTCGTGGCCTCCGCGAATCACACCCTGGGTGACTAAAAAGCGGTCCTACCCGGAGGTAAGGTGTCACGCCAAGGTAGAGGCTAGACCAGCATGCCCAAAGGCTGCATCAGACTTCTGCCGGAGATCAAGTCTATAATGCCGGATGAAAGTGGACGGCTGTGCCCAGGTGGCAGAGGTGCAGACGTCCGGAAGAGGTATGCCGCGTAGGAATGCCATAGAGGTCGCCACGGCTCTGGTGGAGTGAGGGCGAATCACCTTCGGGACTGGTTTGTGTACCAGCTGATACGCAAGGTGAATGGTTAAATTGACCCATCTAGATATAGTTTGAGACGTCGCCTTTAGTGACGTCCTTTAGTAGGTGGTTGGTGACTTATGAAAAGTCAAGGTGAACGCCTGAAAGGTTGGGTGCATTGGACGTAAAAGGCAAAGGGTCGCCTAACGTCTAAAGTATGGAGGAGTCTTTCTTGCGTTGTGGACGGTGACGGGAAGAAGGAAGGAAGGATAAACGGCTGAAAGAGATGGAACTGAGATACGATTTTGAGGAGGAAAGAAATATCCATGGATAATTTGACTTTGTCCAGACAAAACTGTAAATAACGATAGTCGTGACGTAAGGCCGCTAAATCACTAGCTTGTTGAGCTGAGGTGATGGCGATGAGGAAAACTGTTTTAAAGGTCTATAGCTGTAAATCAGTTGAAGCTAAAGGTTCGAAAGGAGCTTCAGTAAGTTGTTTCAGTGCTAATGTTAGAGACCCTTGTGGGGAAGGTGGGCGGGTATCTCGGTAGATAACTCTCCGGCAGCTGATTTCTTCAAGCATCCATCATTGAAACGTTTTCTTAAATCAGCTGCCGGAGAGTTAGGGGGCTGATAAGAAACTATGGCAGAGAGGTAAACTCTCAAGGAAGAGAGGGAAAAGCTGCTAGACTTGAAGCACATAACGTAGAACAGTAGGAAGTGAAGGGTTGACAGAAGGCAATGAAGAAGCTTCAGTGGAAGACTTGAATCTGTTCCATTTATACAGGTAAGCCTTTCTAGTGGAGGGCTTCTTTGATTGACGAAGGACATTCATTAACGAGGCGGAATCCTCCACGCTGCCAGGTGCAGAACAGGTAACTCTGGGTGGAGTACTTGAGCACTGTTCTGCGTGAGGAGGCGGGGCAGGCGAGGGAGGTGGTGAATGTCTGATGAGAGATTGTGAAGGATTGGAAACCAGGGTTGTCTCGGTCACCAAAGGTCTATAATGATGGCATTGGGTTTGTCTTGTTGTGAGCGAACCACAACCTTGTGGAGAAGTGGGAACAGCGGAAAAAGGTTAAGTGAGGGTCTTGGGGCATTGGCCAACAAATGAATCTACAGTGATGCCCCGCATAGCGACATTAATCTGTTCCGGATTAATCGTCGCTATGAGGAAACATCGCTAAACAGAACGGAAAAAGCCATGAGGCCCAAACTCGCCGTTCAGCGAAGTTCCGCCATAGTGCCGCCATTTTCGCGCCCTCAGTAAGCGGCAGGGCGCGAAAATGGTTGCGGCGGCCATTTTGGGCACTCGGCGGCCATTTTGGAACCGCCGATCAGCTGTTCAAAAAACATCACAATGCGAAGATCGGAAACGCTTACCGATCATCGCAATGCAATGTTTTACCCATTAAAACATCACAATGCGATTGCATTAGCAATCTAAAAAAATAGATCGCTATGTGGATTCGTCGTTAAACGGTGCACTCATTATGCGAGGCACCACTGTACTTAGGAGTGTTTGCTAATGCCAGCTTGGGAGCAGTATTATTTGCACTTCCGATTCACACAGGAGGCGAAGAGGTCGAGAGTTGGTTTGCCCCATTGTTCACTTAAGCGAAGAAAAACTGATTGGTCTAACTCCCATTCATGAGCTTGAGAGTTTGTGCGGCTGAGTAGATTGGCCAAGTTGTTGTGGTGGCTGGCAATGTGTGAAGCCATAAGGCAGATATGAGGTCCTAGGCACCACTCCCAGAGGTTGACTGCTAAACAGAGGAGATGTGAAGAGTGGGTGGCACCTTGTTTCAGAATATAGTATGTACATCGTGGTGGTGTTGTCGGTGGCAATTTGTACCCTCTTGCCAGCGAGGAGATTTCTGAAAGCTTTGCAAGCTTTTATAACCACCAACAGCTCTAATTCGTTGATGTGAAGCAATTTTTCTCTGGAAGACCACTTGGGGTGGATCTTGAGAAATCTGCAGTGAGCTCCTCAGCCTGTGAGGCTGGCGTTGGTGGTGACCTGTATTTGTGGCCGTGGTTATCGGAACGGCCACCCGACAGATAGGTTGGAAGGGAAACACCACCACTGGACTTGGGAGGCGAGTTCTGGAGTGACCCTTAAAAGTGTGAGGAGGGTCTCTAAGCGGGTCAAAGAGGGTGCCTAGTACATGTTGCACAGTCAAGGCAGGTACCATAACATGAGGAGTGAAAACTTGAAGTAATGCAATGAGATTTTCTCTTCTCTGGAGGAAGAAAGGTGGAATCTATGCATGTGCCTATATAATGAATAATCTTTGTAGGCTTCGAGTTACGAGGAGCCAATTGTCAATATAAGGAAATATGAGAATATTTTGTAACCTGAGGTAAGCAGCTACTAGTGCCATGCACTTGGTGAATGCTTTTGGAGCTGTTGCAAGGCCGAAAGGAAGCCTTTTGAATTGATAGGCTTGTGACTGCAGCTGAAATTGAAGGAATTTTCTGTGTGAAGGATGTATGCAAATATGGAAGTACAGTATGCATCTTTGAGATCTATGACAGCGAACCAGTCGTTTTCGCGGAGTAAAGGGAGAACTTATTTGAGGGTAAACATACGAAACTTTGTGATAATTATGTGTTTAACTCTCGTAGGTCTAAGATAGGGTGAAGGACCTCCATCCTTTTTAGGTATGGTGAAACAGCGAGAGAAAAACCCTTGGTTGTGTTGTGAGACAGGTTGTATGGCATCTTTGAGGAGTAAATTCCTTATTTCCTCTTGGAGGGTTGGAGATGGTGGAGTGATGACATGTGTTGCCGGAGGAAGTTGGAAGAAATGGATGTGGTACCCATCGCAGATGATGGACAGTACCCAGGCATCTGTTAGTGATGGATTCCCAGACAGGTAGGTGTTTCCAGAGGGCAGGATGGGTGGAGTGGTGTGCAATGGGGATGTCAAATGTGATGGGGCTGCGGTTGTTGTGCCTAGTAATGGGTTGTTGGCGGTGTTTATTTCTTTGATTTCTGAAATAGGGTGCATAAAATGTTTGTTTTGGAGGATCACGTTGGAGTTTTTGATATGGGTTGTACGGTCGTCTCCATTGATTTTGTTGGGGGTGTTGTTGGCAAGATGGATAAACTCCCCAGCGTCTAGCTACTGATGTTTTCTTTTGCATGTTTTCCAAAATATCATCAGTTTCAGCATTAAAGAGGCCTGCCCCGTCGAATGGAAAGTCTTCAATACGTGCGTGGGCATCCTCAGCCAGGACATCTGTCCTTAGCCAAGAGAAATGTCGTAGGGCTACTGAAGTGGCCACTGACTGCTATGGCATCTACCGTGTGCCTAGCAGAAAGCATCTGTTGTTTGGCAATGGAGAGACCTTCTTGTTGAAAGGTTTGGGCGACTACTTTTTATCTTCTGATAAAGATTCAACAAAGGTTGACATATTGTCCCAAAGGAAACCTTGATATGCACCCATGGCTGCCTGGTAGTTAGCGACATGCATGGCGAATGCTGTTGATCAATAAAGCCATCTTCCCATTGAGTCAATCCTTCTACTGTCTTTGTTTGATAGTATGAGGGCTTCTCGATGTTGAGATCTGGCTTGTGAGGCTTTGACAAAAATAGAGTTTGGAGCAGGCTGTTTTTGAAGAAATAAAGCTCCAGGGTCATGGACTCTGTAGAGGTTATCGATTCGTTTAGACATGGTATGGGAAGAGACTGGTTTTGTCCAGGATCGTTGAGCGGTGCTGAGTAGAGACGGAAGCATCAAGTTGTGTACTGGAGTAGGTTTGTCTTTGGAGGTTG